AATATAATTATATATAGTAAACATAATGCTACAGTGCATGCACAATTCACGGTGCGAATAAGGCAATCATTCGCGTTACCATGAAAATAAACTTATATTTTTGTCTATCTTCTCATTATTTTATTATAAAAATTATTTTATGTCATTTTATATTAAAATTTTTATTGAATACTTCTAATTATAAGCTTCCAATTTTGTTTTTTTGGCTCTTAAATCGTTAAACTTGTAAGATAATTAATTTTACCAAACACCCATATAATATTGCAGGCCTACAATTTTATGGGATCTCATTATAGCTAAAAATCTATTAATGATACACAACACAAACAAATGGGGTATGAAACTCTTGCCTGCATTTTCAATTATTATAAATAAAAAATAAAACCTAAAAGTTGAAACAAATAATTTTACTTATACAAAGCAATCACAAATATAAAACAAAAATATCAGAGTATATATGCGTTATCATGTAAATGTGTAATGTACGAAACTCACCATTAGATAAAGAAAAGGATAGAGAGATGATATTGGCAGACCTGCACAAAACAAAAAACAAAGTATTAGTCTCATTCTCATCAGATATTGACAAAAGAGAATTCAAAGAAAAAGATTTTGAAATCTTAGAATAAGACAAAAATAATTAATATAGTTCAAGGTCGAATTTATATAATATTAAAATTTAAATTTTAATAAAAAAATTTAATCAGATTTTATTTACCATTCATTAGATCAAATTAGTTTAAAGCGATGTCTTAATATTAATGTGAAAGAAAAAAGTTGGATTTGTACAAAAAAGAAAATAATAAGAGTTGAATACTTACCACTGCATAACACCACAATCCATATATTGAAGATATTTCTAAAGGTAACATCCTTTTTGAGGGCTTTGGCTTGATCCACCTTACAACCTGGGCAGTTCTCATGGTACACTTTCTTCAACAATGGCTGTCCAAGGTTATTGTCCTCCTCCATGTTTCCACACAATATCCTCTCAAAATCCTTCTTAATATGTGCCACATTCAACAGAAAAACAAAACAAAAAATAAAGCCTAATGAGAAAGTTATGTCATATACTATGCTTTTGATAGTTGCAAGAAATGTGAGAAAAATAAATCGAAGTTGGAGCACAGAAGCATACAGTTCTGGATCCCACTAATTGCAGCTCTCCTCTCCATGTGAAGGAACATGAGAATATTTATAGAATAATTAATCAGTGCATATGGTATGTGTGAACAAAGAAGTTTCCGTCTTTGGAAAGTATATCTTTGAAACCAATACGTAAACGTGATATATATATATACTATCAAATATCATGTCTAGAATAAATTATTGTATGATTTAGATCACTACTCTTCCTCAACTATAAAGTCAAAGATTTAATTAAGATTAATTATATATATATATCACGCAGAGATCGATGATAGACTATAAACTTATGTGTTTATTACATATATCTCTCACCCGGGTAAGAAATTTTAATAAAAATATCAATTTCCAATTGTAATGATAGATCTAATGAATAAACTAGTTACTTGATCCAATTAAAATTTAATAGAATAAGTTAGGTTAAATTTATGCAATTTTTAAAAAAATTTAATTTAACCTAAAAATTAGATTAATTAGTTTAATATAATTATATTTATTTATTTATTTTTATAAAAATTTAAATATTTTAAAATAAATATAAATCATTTGATATATTAGTATAAATTCTATATTATCAACCTATAAAATAAATAATAATATAAATAAAATTTTAAATAAATATACTATATTATTATAATGTTATATCAATCTAAAATATAAAATTTATTATTAAGTAAAATTGACTGTAAATATTATTTTAAATAAATAATTATTCAAATATTATTATTATTATTATAATATATAATAATAATAATAATAATAATAATATATATGATTAGGTTAGATCGAATAATGACTTGAAAATATAAAATTCATTACTCATATTATATAATATTGAGTTTTCATCAAGTTAAATTGAATTTGATCTAAATATTAAAAAAAAAAATTAAATTCATTAAATTAATTTGAATGGATTCGGATTCACGAATTATCCTTACATCCCTAACTTTTCTGGATCACAACACGTCAAAATCAAATGACAATCATATTTTACTGACCACGAGGGAAATACCCCATAATGACGGCACAGCTGTCTAAAAAGTTTAGGAAAAAAACATACTACATTATCACCATTAGGAACAGCTGTACAAATTTATTATAGGTACAGTCATCCATTAAAATATTCAATAATAGCAAAATTATTTTGTAGCTTTAAATTTAAGAAGAAATGTTTTTAAAATAAGTGTTTTTCTTAAAAAAATATTTTTTTTAAGTAGATAAGAGTTGTTTCTTAAAAAATATAAAATTTTTCATTTTTAAAAAGTTTAGAGAAACACATAAAAAATGATTATTTTAACAAATAGATCCAATATTTATATTTAAATATGATCAACAGCATTAAAGTTTATTTAATAGTTAGCAAGAAAGAGTTAAGATAGTTAGAGGATGAGTCCCAGTTTAATTCTATTGCTATTAATTTTGTATTTTTTTTTAATTTTTATAAAGAATATTAAAAAAAATATATATTGAATTAGCCATCAGTTGCATGCACCAAATATTTTGCCGACCAGTTGATTCAATGTTCAAATCTAACACAAAGATTAATTAGGTCGACGAAATTTGAATGCTGATTCAGATTGTCAGCAATAATGTATTCTAAAAGTCTTAACTTCACATCAACTTATTGTAATATAATATTTTTCTGATCAAATAAATTATAAAATATCGCAATAAACGTGTTATATGCCCTGCGAGTAGTATCCGTGTCATCATGTCATGTGAGATAAATAAATTGCGGATCTTAATCACGACCGTTCTAACTGTACTCATTAAGAATGACATGTATGCAATACATCGCTTTTAATTGTTAAACCAGTAAATAATAAATGATTTATAGAATTGAATACATTTTTTAGTCTTAACACAATCAAATAGTTTTAAAAATCGGATCGGTCATCGAACCGGTTAAGATACTGGGTCAGTGGGTCAAAGGTTGAATCGGTGGGTCACTAGTTGAACCATATAACTCGATTTTTATTAAAAAATATTTATATTAAATTTTATACTTATAAATTTTAATAAATTCATATCTTATTTTAAATTTCAATTTTTCTATCTTATTTAAAATTATTTTTATTTTTATTTTGTAAAAAAATACATAAAAAAATTACATGTTAAACGGTATATTAATACAAATTAAAAATATAAATAATATGTACATATATAATATGCTTGCAATTAATATCACAAAATAATATATGTAATATTTACATAGATATTGCATTATTAAATATATAATTTAAAATTAATAATATACTATAAAAGTTATTTAAGTTGTATATATTGCAAACAAATATATTAGAACAAGTAGTCATTGTTATATTTAATAAGACTCCTTGCTTTTTCATTAAGAGATTCAATTTTCATTATTATTTTTGTGATTTATAGTCCCTTAAAAAAATTAAAAAAAAAATAAGAAAAAAAAGTGGTTGAACCGGTTTGACCCACCGGTTCACCGGTTGAACCGGAAAATTGACCGATTCAATCCGGTTTGAAACGGGTCGACTGCATAACCGATCCAACTTCAGATTTGAATCAACTGGACCACCGGTTCCCGGTCCAACTGGTCCGACCGGCCGGGTCGGTCCAGGTTTTAAAACACTGCAATCAAATATACAATTTTGTCCAAATAGTGATAAGTATATTTTGTTACTGTCTCTTGAGATACAACAACATTAATATCTTTTATGTAGAAAAAAAGCTATAATTTAAATTATTTAATTAAGTTATTGTTATTATTGTAAAGAGTTAAATATGTTTTAAAATTATTAAAATTATTTATTTTTAGTTCCTGAAATTTATAATTATTATTTTTAGTTTATGTATTTTTTAAAATTTAGTCTCTCAAGTCACTAATATATCTAAAGTCACATATTAAGACAATATTATGTAACATCGAATAAGTTTAATGTGATGTTTTATATAACATGAACATAGTAAGTAGATTTTATATAATATTATTTGATAGATTCTTTAAAAAAATTTGAGTATAATAATTATAATAAATTTTCTTGAAATTATAGAGATTAAAAAAATCAGTTTTAATTTTAAGAGATTAAAAATATATTTAAATCTTAATAAAAATCACACTTCCATCTTTTGTTAAATACAAGTATTATATTATTCTTTCTTGATATGTTAAAATATAAAATAATTTACAATTTTATTGCTTAAAGATATGAATATTACACTCACTTTTTCTCTTTTATATATATATATATTCTTTCATGCCACACGTTTTTATTAAAATATATAATTTAAAATATTTAACTTAACATCATAAAGAATATTCATCATAAAATTAAATATATTTTCAATTAAAATATAAATTTAATTGATTGATATTCATTCACTTGATAAAAACTAATAAAGATATAATTAGATTAAAAATTATCTATTAAAAAAATAAATAAAATAAAAAATTATAAATTATAATATATATGAATATATATATATATATATATATATATATATGTGTGTTATAT